ATATTTTCTCTGTTTATCATGATGTTGCTTATTGGTCCAGTTGTGAGGATTTTTGTTTTCTTTATGTTGAGGTGTAATCCATACTGAAGGCTGCAGTCTTTGATGCTTCAAGTACTCTTCATTTTCAGCAAGCAAGTTTTTGTCATCTGCATAACACAGGTTGTCAATAAATCTTCTGCCAATCCTGATGCCATGCTCTTCTTCATATAGTCCAGCTTCTTGGATTATTTGCTTAGCATACAGATTGGTGAAAGGATACAACCCTGACATACACCTTTCCTGATTTTAAGCCACTCAGTATCCCCTTGTTCTGTTTGAACTACTGCCTCTTGGTATATGCACAGGTTCTGCATGAGCACGATGAAGTGTTCTGGAATTCCCATTCTTCGTAATGTTATTCATAAAGATTACAACCTAGAAAACCCTATGGGGAAGTTCTGCTCTGTCACAAGGGGTCAATATAAGTCAAAACTGACCCATTAGCACCTAACAAAAACATTGTAATGGCATGATTCATTTTAACAAGAACCGCGAACTGTTTGCAGAATGGCTGTACCATTTTACATTAAAATCGGCAATTTATGAGTGATCCAGTTTCTCTGTATCCTCTCCAGCAGTTGGTTTTTATGTTACAGTTTTTTATGTTAACTATTCTGATAGGTGTATTGTGATATCTCATTGTGGTTTTAATTTGCATTTCCCTGAGGGCTGATGTTGAACATAGACTTATTTGCCATCTGTATATCCTTTGGTGAAACATCTTTTCATGTCATTTGCCCATATTTTATTGGATCATTTGTTTGTTTGTTTGTTTGTTTTGCTGTTGAATTTTGAGAGTTCTTTATATAACGTAGGTATTAGTCCTTTCTCAGATATTGCAAATATTTTCTCCCACTCTTTAGCTTGTTTTTTCATTCTCTTTGCTTTCACAGAGCAAAAACTTAAAATCTTAATGAGGTTTGATTTATCAGTTTTTTCTTTTATGAACCATGCTTTTATTGACAAGTCTAAAAATTCTGTGCTTAGTCCTGTATCTTAAGATTTTCTCCTTTGTTTTTTTCTAAATGTTTTATAGGTTTCCATTTTGAATTAGTTTTTCGTATGTTGTTGTTGTTAGGTACTGTTGATTTGGCCCCAACTCATACTGACCTTATGTATAACAGATGAAGTGTTGCCTGATCCTGCACTATTCTCACAGTCATTTTGCTTTGTTTGAGCCCATTGCTGCAGCCACTGTGTCAATCCATCTCATTGGGGGTCTCCCATTTTTTTGCTGACCTTCTCTTTTACCAAGCATGATGTCCTTCTCCAGCAATTAGTCCCTCCTAATGACGTGTCCAAAGTAAGCAAGATAAAGTCTTACCATCCTTGCTTCTAAGGAGCATTCTGGCTGTACTTCCTCCAAGACTGGTTTGTTCATTCTTCTGGCAGTCTATTATATATTCAATATTCTTCACCAACACCACGATTTGAATGCATCGATTTTGCTTTGATCTTCCTTTTTCATTGGCCAGCTTTCTCATGCATATGAGGCAACTGAAAATACCATGGCTTGGGTCAGATGCACCTTAGTCCTTTGATTTTTAACACTTTAAAAAGGTCTTTTGCCACAGATTTGCACAATGCAATACGTCATTTGATTTCTTGACTGTTGCTTCTGTGGGCACTGATTGTTGATTCAAGTAGAATGAAATCCTTGACAACTTCAATTTCTTCACCATTTATCATGATGTTGTTTATGGGCTCAGTTGTGAGGATTTTCGTTTTCTTCCTTTTGAGGTATAATCCATATCGAAGGCTGTAGTCTTTTACCTTCATCAGTAAGTGCTTCAGGTAGGCTTCATTTTGTATAAGATGTGAGATTTAGGTTAAGGTTCATTTTTTGCATATGGATATCCAATTGCTCCAGTACCATTTGTTGAAAAGGCTAGCCTTCCTCCCTTGAATTGTTTTTGCACCTTTGTCAAAAATCAGTTCAGCATATTTGAGGATCTATTTTGTGTTCTCTATTCTGTCTCATTGATCTCTATGTCTATTCCTCCACCAGTAACACACTTTGTTAATGACTGGAGCTATATAGTAAGCTTCAGTATAGAGTAATTCCTCTCAGTTTATTCTTCTTTCTCAAGATTTTTTTCAGCTATTCTAGGGTCTACGTCTTTCAGTATAATTTTTAGAATGAACTTTTCTCTGTCTCCAAAAACCCTGCTGGGATTTTGATAGGAATTGCTTTAAACCTATAGATCATTTTTAGGAGAACTGACATCTTTTCTATGCTGAGTCTTCAAATCCGTGAACACAGTATGTCTCACCATTTATTTAGGTCTTCTTTGACTTCTTTCATAAGAATTGTTTAATATTTAGCACAGAGATCCTGTGCATATTTTGTAAAGTATACACCTAAGTATTGATTTTCTTTGGAGCAACGATAAATGATAATGCATTTTTAATTTTGGTTTCTGTATTTTCATTGTGACTATGTAATTTTTGTGTGTTGATATTGTATCCTGAGATCTTGATGAATTCATTTTTATTAGTTCTAAAAACCAAACCAAACCAAACCTGTTGCTGTCTTGTTGATTCCAACTCACAGAGACCCTATAGGACGGAGTAGATCTGCCCCGTAGGATTTTCAAGGAGGGGTCGGTGGATTTTAACTGCCAACCTTTTGGTTAGCAGCTGAGCTCTTTACTACTGTGCCACCAAGGGTCCTATTAGTTCTAGGAGGGTTTTTTTTTTTTTTTTTTTTGGTAGCTTCCGTGGGATTTCCTACATACAGTCATGTCATCTGCTTTGTCTTTAGTTTTCAATAGTTTGATTTTGATGTGTCTGGAAATGGATTTCTTTGGGTTTACCTTATTGGCATTTACTGAAATTCTTGAATATGTAGGTTTGTATCTTTAACCAAATTGGGGAAGCCAGTTCAGCCCTTATTTATTTAAAATAATTTTTTTTTTTTTTTCTGTACTGCAGCCTTTCTCCTCTTCTTCTGGGACTTTGATAACACCAATATTAGACCTTTTGTTATTGTACCACAGGTCCCAGAGACTCTCTCCATTTTTTTTTCTGTGTTGTTCAGATTGAATCGTTTTTATTTATCTATCTTTAATTTTACTGATTCTTCACATGTTATCTTTATTCTGCTATTAAATCCACCCAGGGAGACTTGTTTTTATTTGTTTGATTGTTTAGTTAGTTTGTTTGTTTTGGTTTTTTGTTTTGTTTTGGGTTATTGTATTTTTCAGTTCCAAAATTCTATTTGGTGGTTCTTTACATCTTCTGTTTTCTAAGATTTTCTCACTTTACACTCATCTCAAGAGTAGCCTTTCTTGTTGGAGAATTTTCATAGTAGCTACTTTGTCACATAATTACAACATCTGTACATCTTGACTTTGGGGTCAGTTGATTGTCTTTTCCCGTGTGAGTTGAGATTTCCCTGGTTCTTCCCATGCTGAGTAATTTTGGATTGCAATGTTGTGTTATAAGATTCTGAGTCTTATTTGTACAAGCATTACTTCCATGATTTAGGTAATTTCTCTTAAGAACAGTGATCCAAATTTTTCTTGGAGAAGATCTCAACTGATGCAAGAGATGATATAAGACTGGCTTAGACTCCCTAAAGAGGCAACTTATTTTTTTCCAATTCAATAAATTTTTATTATATACCTACTATGTGCTAGACACGGAGCCTTGGTGGCACAGTGGTTAAGAACTCAGGCTGCTAACCGAAGGGTCGGGAGTTTGAGTCCACCAGCCGCTCCTTAGAAATCCCATGGGGCAGTTCTGCTCTGTTCTGTAGGGTCGCTTTGAGTCAGAATCGACTCGACGGCAACGGGTTTTTTTTTTTTTTTTGGTTTATGTGCTAGACACGGTGCTAGGCAACCATGCAGAAGTTCAATACATGATTTTAATAAGATACATCAATCACATACGGTTCTCTTACAAATTAATTTCTCCTGCATAATAAAAACTTTATAAAATAAAACTCTAAAATTGTCATTGAAAATTTGAAAACTATATATGATATTGTTGTTGAGGCACAAAATTCCTTACTTCTGTGATTGCTCTTCAGATCGACTCAGAGCACAGTTGGTGCGTATTCATTTGTTTAGCAGAAGATGCGATTTTGTTTGCTGTTCTTAACTCTCACAGAAAAGGCAGAGGAAAAAAGGAAGAGGAAAAAGTAAAAGAGGAAGAAGAAGTTTTGTCAGTACCAAAAATAACTGGAGAAGGAAGCCCTGATAAAGAATGGTGCCCTCCCTCTGACCCTGACTTCTGTCTTTATGTTTATGAAGTGACCAAAACAATCCTGCCCATCACCAACATGAAGGAACAGATTGAGGCTCTTGCAAAGTAAGTTGTCTGTGTATACATATATATTTTTAATTTATGAAAAATAAGTTTTTTATCTTAGTAATTTTTTTAAGCAAATTTTCAGGCAAATACACAATAGTAAAATTGAACTTCTATGGCACCCTGGTTCTGACTCTAAAACAGAAACACAATAAATTGAAAAGATTCTGAATTTCTATTTGAGGTCATATTTCTATCAAAAATCAGAGCTAGGAGCTGGAAATTGCTTGGAGAAAAAACTGCCTATATCCTTTATTCCAGTGAAACTATTAAAAGCACCTTTCAATGTGATCCTGAAGATGTTATTAATGGCTCAAAATTTGAAAGTGAAATCATTCCTTAGGTGTATGGAGTGCTCATGATTTAAAGGAATCCTACTGTAAATTACTTGCAAACTCACAAATTATTTTCTAATACAAATAATCACCTCTTGTTTTTCTATGTTATATTTTGTGTTTCGAGTTTCTTTAAAGTTAGGGTATAAGTAGTCTAAGAGATGGCTGCTTGGGCAGGCTCAGAGCTCTGTGTGAGCCAGTGGCATTGCCTTCCTCCTGGAGCGCTTAATCTGATTCCACTAAGAGAAGCCTGAGAATTGACTTCATAGCTGTAAGGGATTAGAAACCAGTGTAGAAACAGAGGAGAGCCTTTGTGATGGACATCAGCCAGTAGGTGAGCTGCTGGGTTGTGTAACAGCTGCAGTCTCCGTGGGAGCTTATATCTACTCCAAATAGAAGTGAGTTGCAGTCATCCAACCTAGATGTGACAACTGTAAGTCACACAGCTGCCAGCTCATTGACTTCTTGTCAGCCGGAGCTGGAAGAGAACGTTTCTGGCTACTGAAGTTTTCCTAAATGTCCTTGAGAAGTGATGACACAAGCAGAACTCTAATTCAACTCATTTAAACATTTGTCAAATTTCCTCATGCTTTGTTCCTATCAGAAACACTTTTCATCAACCCCAAATAGTTGTCTGTTTAACCTGAGCACACACCAAGCTATAGCGAGAGATACAGAGAATTGTTTCCACTGGCTTTGGTTCCCCAGCATTTGCTGACACATACTTGGCTGGTAAAACTGCGAGTCAATTCAGCACCTTTCTCCCCAATCTCCACCCCCTCCTTTATTTTTAATCTTTGTTCTTCTTCACTTGGCTTCACATACAGCAAGGAGAAATTCTTTCTTTAAAATTTTGCAATTCTGCCTTTACCCCAAGAGTGCAGCGGTATGTTGGATTTTTTTGTTTGCTTGTTTTTTTTTTTTTTTTTTGGCCAGTGAGTTCACTGGCTTCTTTAGCGAGAACCTAGTTCTAGGAGAAACCCACAGGCAAAGGATTACACAGTCATCCTGCCTGATACACCCATACCTAATTCCTGCTGCTTTTCCCTTTTTGTTTCTTCATCCTCTCTTCTTTAGTGCTATGTAAATGCCATGTCTTTCTCTAAATGAAAAACTAATAAAATGTAAAAAAATAATAATAAACTTGAAAATATTTGTGAAACTAATGGGACCATTCTCTGTATTTATCTTGTCTCTGAGTTTCAGTTGCTCGAAGCAATGACCATATGTTAGTACAATGCCTAAGATTTAGATGAAAACATTTAAAAATATTTTTGGAGAGTAAGAAAATTATAAAACTGCATTGATAAAAATTTAGTATGATATTGATTTATATCTTGTTCTCAATGTTGGGAAAATTAGCATTCATGTTCTTTGTGTTGAATGAAATTAATAGAATTTGTAGTTTATATGTAGGTAGTTTGAACACAGTAAGCACAATGCTAACCTACTTACAAAATAAGTAAATTTTAAAAAGTAAAGCAAGCAATAAAAATCAAAAGGAATGTAGTTTTTATACATAAAATTACACTCAAGGCATACAAAATAAGATATCAAATTTGATTGATTTGATATCAATATAATTGACACAGGTATGTGGCAGAAAGAATGGGTGGTCATATTCCAAAAGAGAAACTACATGAATTCAGCTGGGAACTTCACATAAGTGAATTAAAATTTCAACTTAAATCCAATGTCATACCAATTGGACAGATCAGAAAAGGGATCTTCTACCATCGAGCTTTGCTTTTCAAGGTATTTAAGATGCTTTTACCTTGCTTGCCATTAGGTGAAAATGTTTTGTCTTTATCATATTGAAGTGAGCCTGTTGCTAACATTTAACTAGATAATAGTAATTCCATCTTTTATACACACACACACACACACACACACATATAAAACCACCAGACTATTAGAAGCATATTCACCCATTCATTCAACATTTATCTTACACCTACAATGGGCCGGGTCTGGGATTATAGAGATGCTAAGCTGACAGTCACTGCTACACTCCAAACCAAAAAACAAAACAAATCCATTGCTGTCTAGTCCATTCTGACTCATAGCGACCCTGTAAAACAGAGTAAAACTGCCCCATAGGGTTTCCAAGGAGAAGCTGGTGGATTTGAACTGCCGCCCTTTTGGTTAGCAGCCTTAGCTCTTAATCACCGTGCCACCAGGGGTACCTAAACCAGGGTTCAGAGACGATGTCAAGGGAGGTTTCAGGAAAGGAAGTGATACGTTGCCTTAGTATCAGAGGCTACATAGGAGTTCACTAGGTAAAGAAGGAAGAGAAGGGCATTCTAAACAGAGTAAACATCTTATGCAAAGTAACACGTATAAGAGACAATGGTTTATTTGAGGAATATAGAGTAGTTTGTCTGGATGAAGAAAAGAGAAAGGATTGGATGGGGGCCAAAGGACCAGATCATAAAGCACCCATGGTAAGGAGTTTGCACCTGATCCTAAAATCTAAGAGAAGCCACTGAAAGTTTTTAAGGAAAAAGGGGTAACATGATTGTGAAAGATCATTCAGGCAACAGAATGGGGAATGAACTGGAGCAGGGGCAAGACTGGAGACTTGGAAGACCAATTGGAAGGTCACTGGGGCAGGAAATATGGATGACCTGGGCTAAAGCCATAGTAGTGAGGATGTGGATGAAGGGATGAATTTAGAGGGAGATTTAGGGAATATAACCAAAAGTGTTGGTGACTGCCTAAGAGCGATGTGAGAGGTTGCATGAGAAGAGCAAAATGACTTCCAGGTTCTGAGCAGGGCAACTGGGGGTGATGGCACTATTCACTGAGATGGGGAACATTAGAGCAAGGTCAGGTTTAAGAGAGGGGGTGATCTTTTGCTCCATTGTATCCACAGTATCTGGCATATAGTATGAGCTAAGAAAATGTATCTGATGTCCCTCTAGCTAGCCCTACTGAGTGTCTCATAGGCACCTCAAACTCATTATGCCAAGCCGAATTCATTACCTTTCTCCTTCCACCTCAAGTGAATCATGCAGTTACCCAGAACTCTTCCACCTCTGAAATTCTAACCTCCAATACTCACTGATAAAATCTCTTATCTTTCCACCACCCCTCTTAAATCCTTCACACCTCCTACATATACTTTTCATCTGCTCCATTTTTGCCCCCAATTTGTTGGTTTTTGTTTGGCTTTACTCTCCACAGCCCACCCCCCACCCCACCCCCGCCAATGACCTTGATAAATTGTCCACAGCCCTAATAATTTGCTCACTAATTTCCCTCATTTTCTTGTGCCCTTTCCTTCCACCCCTCTGCCTTGACAGCTAAGCCTAGACCAATCCAACTGTCTGCACTTTCCACTATTAACACTCAGGTTACAGAGCACAACAGTGATTCACGCCACTGCAAATTCATGATGTCCAGATTTGGGTGGATATGCATGCTGCCTGGTCACCCTTTCCCAGCTCCTAGTCATAGGCTCTTCCTATGTCCTTCAGCAGCTGTGCCTGACAAATGTCCCTTTTCCTTATCCCTTTCTTCATCTCCACCTCTTCCCTCAAAGCAGTGACTGCGTGTCCCACTTCACAAAGGAAATACAGACTTTCAGATGGGAACTCATCCAACTTCAGTCGAGGCAGTATAACCACGAGGTGAAGGGTTTAGGGTCTGGTGGTGGGTTTCTTGGCTCTAACTTTAACTCCACCACTTCCTGTGACCTTGGCAAAATTATCTAACCTCAGCTATACTAGCCATAAAATGAAGAACACAATAGTATCTATTTCACAGGGTTCTTTTGATGGTATACAGTGCCTTAATGTGAAGGAAGAGATCAGTAAATGTTATTTTGGAGAAAATATTGTTATTATATATTATTTTTGTCTCTCTACCCCTAGATTGTCAGTGCCGTGTGTTCAGATTCTGTGTTTGTGTTATGGCTGACTGTTTACCAAGTAGTCTCAGGTTAGATAGAGTGTAAGGTTCCTGGGTGGTGCAAATGGTTAACATGCTTGGTTACTAACCGTAAGGTTGGCAATTCGAGTCCACCCAGAAGTGCCTTGAAAGAAAGGCCTGACAATTTATTTCTGAAAAATCAGCCATTGCAAACCCTATGGAGCACAGTTCTACTCTGACACACATGGGGTCGCCATGACTCAGAATTGGCTCAAATGCAACTTTTTTTTTTTAAACCCAAGACAAAACCAAATCCAATGCCATCAGGTCAATTCCGACTTCTACTGACCCTACAGGACAGAGTAGAACTGCTGCATAGGGTTTCCAAGACTGTAATCTTTACGGAAGCAGACTGCCACATCTTTCTCTCACTGAGGTGTGGAGAGTGGGTTTGAACCACTGACCTTGTGATTAACAGCCGAGCACTTGACCATTGTGCCACTATGCCCTAAAAATGACAACCATGTCTTAGTCATCTTGGTCCACCCAAAACTATGTGGTGCAGTCATTACATAGTAAACAATCAATAAATTAAGCTACTATTTAAATATAAAACCAAAATCCATTGCCATTGAATTGATTCCAACTCATAGCAATCCTCTAGGACAGAGTATATCTGCCCCATGGAGTTTCCAAGGAGCAACTAGTGCATTCAAACTGCTGACCTTTTGGTTAGTCGCCCAGCTTTTAACCACTGCGCCACCAGGACTCCATATTTAAATATACAGATTATTAAAATAACAATTCTTACATTTATGTATTCAGTACTTAGTGCCAGCAGATACTGCTCTAAGCACTTTCCACGTATTAAGTCACTTCATCTATATAAGCACCCTGTGAGATAGGTACTGTTATTATCCTCATTTCACAGATGAAGAATGGAAGCACAGAGAGGCTAAGTAATTTGCCTGAGCTGACACAACTTAGTAAGTGGCAGAGTGGAAATTCAAACTCAGGCAGTCTGACGTCTGAGCCAGCTCTCTTGTCTGCTATGATGTGGCTAAGGAGGTTCCAGATTGTTTTAAAGCTACCTTTTTTATAATCTCAAAATCAGGAATAACCAGCGGGCAAATTGAAGAGACATCTTCCAAAGAACATAAGCAAGCCCTAATGAGGTGGCAGCAGGTAACCCAAGAAGAAGCAATCACTCAGAATCTTGCTTCTCCTGTTCCGTGGCACTGTCTACATTACACAGAATAAATCAGCTAGAAATAGGTCCCTGCCAATTTGATCCCTCCATGCAATCCCACTGTATCCCACACCCAGAGAGCAGCCTGGAAGTGTAGAAAGCTTGATAAATGCACTAGTGCTGAAAGCTCACGGAATAGCTTTTCTCCAACTACATTATCAATCTTGTGCTGATACGATACGGTGTAACTGCCTGAAAAAAGTCACTTCCCAGCAGGACACACAGAGATTTTTGGTCTGCAGAATCTTAGAGGAGCAAGGGAACTTGTCATCACATTTTATTGGCTACTATCACAACAGTGCACATTTTCAGCCTCCTATCTAAGCATTTATTTGCATGAGTTGCATATTTCACCTTCAAACAAGGTGGGTTTTACAACTAAGGCTCTTTCTCCACCCCCCTTGTGGGTCCCTCCTTCTCTCCCACAGGCTCTGGCCGATAAAATTGGCATTGGCTGCACTCTAGTCCGTGGGGAGTATGGCAGAGCTTGGAATGAAGTGAAGCTGATGGACAGATCTCGTAAGGGAGTAATTGGGTGTCTACCTCCTCCTGAAACATATATTGTTGATCTCATGTTCCATCCAGGCGAGCTGATGAAGTTAAGAAGTAAAGAGGCAGACCTTTACAGATTTCTTTAAACTGTCAAACGAACACAAGAGGGGTTCGAATTCATTCTGTGCACTTTATATGAAATTTATCCATTGATGTTACTTCTCTGAATAAAAGTATTATAGAAGTGTTCTCTCTGTGTAGAAATGAGGAACTTGGATTGAACTTTGTTATGCTTCTGATTTCGGCCTTTTACCAAGAGTTCACAGTCTTATTAAGCCATGTTATGCTCATGCACCTCATAGAAAGCTTATTGTTGAAACTAATCCACCCACTGTTCCCTAAGGAGCATCTCTGTCCTTTGGGAGTCATGTGTAAAGGCACTCAGCTTTTGTTCCCAGATGACAATACTGTCATCTCATGCCCACGATGCTTCAGGAACACTTGCTTAAATAAATTCTATGGTTTTTTAAATGTCTTCAGCCATCTTATCTCACTCTAATAAAGCAAGATCATCAATAGTTTGAATACTTATAGATCTATTTTAGTTTTACAAACTTCTTTCTAAAAAAATTCATATTTTAAAAAACTTATCATTGGGAGCATTCTTTAATATATTTCACTGAACTAAAATGATTCCTACAAAATATTTCCATAAAATATATCTCTCTTTGTCTTGTCTCTGTTATTTTGGAAATGTACCGGTACCTTCAGTTAAAAAGAATTCTGGTTTGCTTTTACACATTTTAATGCTGGGTCATCAAAACAGTACTTGAAATTTTTTTTATTTAAAAAATCTTTTTTAGGAAACTTTGAAATATAGAAGTAAAGTTTTTACTGGAGAATGGTGTTTTCGGTATTAAACACAGAATGGAGAGCACACATATTTCAAATGGTAAAGCAAATAAAAACTAGTAATGTGGTGACTCTAATGACTGTTTTCTAGTCAGGCCTTAAGTCTAAAGTTTATCTGTTAAACCATTTTCCAAGAAGGTATTTTAAAGTGAGTTTGATTTTAGAGATTAAGGCTAAGATTGTTCTGTAGGAGCTGATCTGTAATTTAAGAGAACGTAATTCTTTATTTCACAATAAAGTTTCTTATTTCAAATGGTGTGGCAATTATTTATCATGCATTTTCATGATATTAGAGCATGGACTATAGGAGACAAACCCTTCAAAGCATTTTCAAGTCTGTTCTGATCCAGAAAGCATTTGAAATGGATTACAAACATATATTAGATGTAACAACATGAAATAAATGAAAAACAGGTATAAATGTAGAACACAAATAAGGTTGGGAATAAGCTTAGAATTCAGAATGCATCCATGAAAACCCAATGCATTTGTAAGAGGTAAGTGAAAATCTGACACCAAGCTCTCTAAGCAGCCAATGTGGAGGGAAATGCTGTCAGTCACATGATTTATAATAGGGTCCAACGGATAAAAGCACAAAACGGTCTCTCAGGAGGGACAAAGACCAGGGAAATTTCTTTTTGGGAGCTCCATAGATGACACAATGTAATGTAGAAAATAACATCTTTTAAAACGACCTCATAGTAAGTTCTGAAAAGAGTTTTATAGGCTGATGGCCTAAAATCAAAGTGGAGTTAGGTAAAAGTTCTATCTGATGGAGCCACTATGATTGGCCCTGGGTAGATGCCACATTTTTTAGACTAGTGTATGTCAAAGACACATTTTTTGTGTCTTTGAGACAATTCTCTATAAATAATATCTCAATTAGGTTCTAGATAATTATTGAACAGCAATGAGTTTGAAATTCTCAGACCCGTCCTTGAAGTTCGTCTATTTTCTGTTGCCAGTTAAGTACAGAGTCATGAAATTTAATAATCAGCCAATCTATTATAAAAAGCAAATCCATTCAAAATAGAAATGAAAACTATAAAATACCTAGAAATAAATTTAATAAGAAATGTGCAAGAAAAACTACAAAATTTTAATGAGACCTGAATAACTGGAGATAGACACCATGTTTCTTAATGGGAAACTCCAAAATATAAAGATCTCAGTGCTCCTCATATTAATAGTGACATTTGGTACAATTCCAATCAGAATCTCAACAGATTTTTCCCCTGGAACTTGATAAATTGACTGTAAAATGAATGCATATGGAAAAATGAATGCATATGAATATGAATATCAAGAATATTTTGATACAGAAAATAAGGTGTAGTTAGCTCACTCAGATATCAGAACATATATTGAAAAGCAATAATGAGTAAATCAGTGTGATAGGGGCATAAAAATTGAGAAATTAAGACTCCAGACACAGATCTATATAGATAGATGGGGATTTAGTATTGTAGCTTTTCTGCCCAGTAGGGAAATTATAGCCTATTCAGTAAATGATATTGAGAAAATTATAATCTTAGCAAAGGGAGACACTTTCTATGTATCACAGTTTTCCAGAAGCCATAAAAGAACATACCTGGCTACATAAAAAACAAACCTGTTGCCATCCAGTTGATAAATCCCTGTTCAACAGAATACATTATAAGCAAAATCTAATGACAAATTATAGACAGAAAAAAAAAACATTTGTAACAAAGGCTGATATTCTTAATAAACAAAAAGTTTCTATAAATCAATAAGAAAAAGACAATTCACCTGGAAGGTAGGCAAATGCAACTGTAAAGAACTTCTATACAGTAGTAACAACCAATCCCCAAATCTCAGTAGCTTAAGGTAACAAGTCTTTCACAGTCACACTACATGTCAAACACAGGTCAGCATAGGAGGCTCTACTACACACAAAGACCTAGGCTGACAAAAGCTCCTCCTTTTAATAGCTGCACTATCTGGAATACATGGCTTTCTCAGTCACTACAGTGAAGGAGAAGGTGCTAGGGATCTCCTTCAGGAATTAAATACTTTGACCTGGAAGTAACACATTATTTGGTCAGGACTGGCTCCAGGCTGAGGAGTCCTGGTGGCACAATGGTTAATTGCTTGGCTGCTAAATGAAAGGTTAGTGGTTCGAACCCACCAGCGGTTCTGCGAGAAAAAAGGCCTGGCGATCTCCCGTAAAGATTACAGCCCAGGAAACCCTATGGAGTAGGTAGTTCTACTCCGTCATATAATAGGGTCACTGTGAGTCTGAATCGACGTGACAGCACACAACAGCAACAACAGACCCAGGCAACATGGGGTGATGTCAGGAACCACAGAGACTCAGGATCCTGACGCAGTGTCGTTTAAAAACTGTGGAAACCCTGGCAACTATTGTGCTTGTGAGGGTTCAAAACAATTCATATAAAGTAATTGTAGTTGTTATTCTGTCAGAATCAAAAGCTACAGCTTTGCTTCTGGAGATTCATTAAAATTAATATCTAACTTTTAAGAATAGCTATTAATTGAATGGAGAAATGGACAGTAAATAGAAACCTTTTCACAGGCTTTGCAGCTTTGGAGTAGGCATCATAAATGAGGACTCCACTTTGCACTGCGCTTTTAGTAAAGAACACATCAGATTTGAAATGTTTTATTTCTTTGTCAAAGACACACCATTGTCATCCAAGGAAATACTTTCTAGGAGCTCAAAATAATAAGCAAAATCAAATAGATAATTTTTAAAATTACTGAGACAGAATTCTTAAAAGTAGTAGCTTGTTTCTCAGCAAGATATCACCACAGTATTTCTCTGCCAAAAACAGTAATCTGGAGATAAGAGGTAGGGGATTTCAGGAGATGGTGCACTTTCCCTTAGAACCATTCAGAGAAAGGCTGTAATCCCAGTGCTCTTTGTTTTTAACTCAATAGAATACTAAAACGAAAAAGAAAAAAAAAAAACATCGCCACCAAGTCAATTCCGACTCATAGTGACCCTATATAAAACAGAGTAGAACTGCCCCATAGGGTTTCCAAGGCTGTAATCCTTACGGAAGCAGACTGCCACATCTTTCTCCTGTAGAGTGGGTGGTGGGTTCTAACTGCCAACCCTGCAGTTAGCAGCCGAGCACTTAACAACTGCACCACCAGGGCTCCTTAACAGAATACTAAGAGCGGGGAGAGCAATAAAATAGTACCAAATCTCCTATCTAGATATTAGTATTTAAAAGTACCATTTCTTTATTTGGAGCCTTTGTGGCACAGTGGTGAAGAGCTACGGCTGCTACCCAAAAGATTAGCAGTTTGAATCCAGCTGCTCGTTGGAAACCCTATGGGGCAGTTCTACTCTGTCCTATAAGATCACCATGAGTAGGAATTGTAGATGGCAATGGTTTTATTCTTTATTTAAAAATACTTGTGCATTATATAAATCACAAGCAAAAGCTTTGCTTAGCCTTATGATTTTAAAGCCATGAATATAATTAGTTTAATAATAATAGTGGACTTGACTTCAAAAGACAACCATCAAAGTGTCAGGTGTGAATATATTAATATAGTGAATTCCAGTAAGATTCCTGTGGAACTTACACAGTACAAGAGACCTGTAGGATCTGCCCATAAACAACCACAAACAAAAATAAAAAATAAATCATTGTTGGAGAAGGTAAAGAAATTTTACTGTGGTGATTTTACTTATAAATTCAATAAGCCTTTAATATTGAAAGGCAATATAATATAGTAGTTAAAAGCCCAGGCTTTGGAGTCAGAGCTGAGATTAATCTTGGCTCTACATTTAACTAGCTGTATGACCTTGAGAAAATTACATAACCTCTTTGTCCTTCAGTTTACTTTTCTGAAAAATGCGGACAAGTAACAATAGCAAATATTTACATACTGCTGACTATGTGCCAGAGGCTGTTCTATGCAGTACTGGCCCTTCCAGTAAGCCTATGATGTATAAGTAGTATTACCCACATTTACAAGTGAGAAAACTGAGGCCAAAGAGGGTAAGTAACTTATCCAAGATCATTTAGCTAGTAAGTCACAAAGCTTTTAACTTGAACCTAGTTTGGCTCCTACTTTAGCATCTGAGTATGCTCTCAAGCTATATGCTCATAAAGCTGTGGTGGGGCTTAAATAAGACCATGCATGTAAATGACAGATGTGTGTGTGTGTCTGTATGTTATGTCTTTGTAGTTCTCTATTCTATGATCACGTTGTTAATGTTCTGTTCACACCTTTG